AGCCTCCCCCGGCATGAAGCAGGGAACAAGTGCTGCTCCCAGGGTCGGGGGGGGGGGGGCACACTGAGCCTGGGAAATATTTGCACAGCATGCCGGCTGTTTCTCCTTCGGATTATCCTTTAGGTTCTCATTCCCAGCACAAATACACACAGTGAAGGAATGAGTTTAGACAAGACCAAAACACACAGTGAAGGAATGAGTTTAGACAAGACCAACCGGAAGTGGGCACCTGCCCCGCTGCACCCCAGGCCCTATTCCCACCGAGCAGGCTGAGGAGCAGCCCCAGGGGCTCACCCTGGGCTCTTTTCTACACCTGTGGGTGCCAACCTGAAAGATGTGCCATCTCCTGGCTCCTAAACGATGCCTGCTCGGGGCTGCTGCAAGCAGAGGCCCAGATGACAGGAAGTCAACTTCGTTGCAATGCATGGCAAATCAGCAGCCCACAACTACCAGTCTCCAGGTCCTCATCTCGGTACAGAGGGACAAGCCCTGCTGTGACAGGGACCTCAGCCTTCTGCCAAATCAAATCCTCAATATGTAGATGCGGAGCCACCCCATCCTGCCCTGGGCAGCATCTCACAAATGTACCCTGGAAATCCTGGCCTCTCTGTAGGCACTGGAGCAGGTAAGGCCAATGGCCTGGTGTGGGACCTGGCAGGGACTGCAGGAGCCATGAGCCAGGACCCACATTGGACAAGACAGGGGGGTTGGACACGGGCTCTGTAGCTACAACCCCACGGGGAGCCAGAATAACAGGTCTCCCGGAAAGGGACAGAGATTCCCAGCCCCACCTGTCCCCCATACACCACGCACGGACGTGCACACATCAACTCGCTGGTGCACAGGCCCTGCCCTCAGGCTCTGGGGAGGACCCTCATCACCCGTCCCCTGCTGCGGCACACACTCCTGCCCTGCATCTCTGCGGTCCCAGCGGCGGGTGAGCAGCAGTGGGCTGAGAGCAACATCTCATCCCAGAGGTCACCCCAGCCCCAAGCCTGCTGTGTCCCAGCACAGGAACGTGGGCAGTAAGGACCAGAGCTCCGACATGTTCTGAAACATGGTTGTGAACAGCGAGCTGGGACCAACTCCACCAGGGTCTTTGGCCTCATGGGGAAGGAAGACGCAGACCCACACTGGCCACAGCCCAAGGGACACAGCAATGGAAGCCACCTGAGAACCCAGGGTCTGGGACGGGAAGCAGGAGCAGCCCAGGAGCACAGACGCACGCAGCCCTTTCCTGAAGAGGAGGGCAGGCTCCAGGGCTCGCAGGCACGGGCCAAACACTTCATAGACTAATGAAACAACCCTCAAGGCCTTGTAGCAGCAGCACTAAGGAGTTTGCACTTTAACCTTGCGGGAAAGTGGGAGCCACAGAGCGTGGGCCCTGCCTGGCATCCAGCACTCTGGGAGGCTGAAGCAGGAGGATTGCCAGTGTGAGCCCAGCTTGGGTGACTTAGCACCTTAGTAAGCTACTGCCTCAAAGCAAAAAATACAACAGGAAGAAATGTCGCTCAGCGTGAAGGGCCTGGGTTCAATGCCCGGGACTCTCCCTTCCAAAAAAGAGATATAAAGTAGTGGAGCAAAGGTAATAAATACTCATAGGAGTATTACTCAGAAGGGATCGCCATCGCTTCCTAATCAATTACTGTCATCTGCACCCTGTGGGCTGCCAGCCTCTTGTGCAGTGAGGCGGAGATCTGACCTCCGGTTGCCCCTGTACATCCCCCACGTGCGGCCACATCCCATGGGGTAGCGTGGAACTGGCCGTAGCCAGGGTGAGGCTTTAACCAAAACCTCCGGCAGTGCACAAACCAGAGTCCTTGCTGCAGCGAACAGGCAGCTGACGCTTGCTGGCCACTGCCTATCCATCCCAGGAGGCCACACCCTTCTGCTGCAGAGTCAGCGCTCCTTCTGCTTGTCAGAGCCTAGTGCAAGAGATCAGGGTTCACGGGCCAGGCGGGACACTTTCTTCCACAACCAGAGAACAGGGACTAAAGTGAGCCCAGGGTCATGGGCTGCAGGGCTCACAGGCGAGGGGGCGGTGAGGGGGACACAGAAGGTGGAAGGGGTGAGACCACAATGGTCTGCAGCGGGAGGTGCACTTTGGCATCCTGGGAGCCCGGGGCACCGAGCTGAGCAGTGCTGGTAGAAGACGGGCAAGGTGTCCTGCCTGGCTGAGTCCCAGAGGGGTGGGCAGCCTGGCCTTGCGCTGGCGCCAATCTGCAGCAGGGGGGGGCCTTGGTCCTGCTGCGGGAAACACACACACACACACACACACACACACACACACACGCGTATGCACACACAGACAGGTGCCCAGAGAGCACAGCTGATCAGAAAGGCACCTTCCTGACATCACATTACAAATTCCAAGGAGCTGCAGGTGACGGGCAGCTGTGCTGGGTGTCCCACCACCCCTCCAGGGGCTTGCTTCCTGAATGTCATTGCATGGCCCAGAACCCTCAAGGAGAACAAGAGCTTACAACAGCGCAGGAGGCAGCAACACCTCCTGATTTGACAGTGGCTTTTTTTTTCCCAGTACTGCATGAATGGAACCTAGGGCCTCCGTACTCTTTATGGCTTTATTTTGAGACAGCGTCTAATTGCCCCACCTGAGTTTGACCCTGTGAGGCTCCTGCCTCAGCCTCCCAGAAAGCTCACCAGTAGGCAAAAGTGGCGATGTCAGTGTCCTCAGGGGCAGGTGACTCTGCCTGAGGGTTGCTGCCATTTCCTTTGTAGAGGACTTAAACCCTCAGGAGCTAATTCTGGACCTTTGGCTTGAGAAGGGAAAGAACTTTTAAATGGGGCACAAAGAAAATGATTCCAAAAGAGAACCCTAGTGGACATACTCAATAAGTTGCACTTTGCTAAAGTTGTAGATCTACCTTTATTAGAAAACACGCGCAGACTAGAACAGTGACCTGGGGACAGAGATGAATCTACACACACCACACCGCATGGGCCACACCCAGGACATAGGGCAGCTGCAGTCAGGAGAAGAGGACAGAGCACCAGCAAAACCTGTGAAGGCCCCAAGTCATCCTGGGGCATCCAGGTCATCTTGAACCTCACACACCCACGGAACTAGGAGGGACGTCAGCACCCACAACAAATGCTGGCTTGGGGTGGCACCAAAAGCCTCAGGGAAGGTGAACTGGTCCTGCCACCCTATATGGGTGGCAGTTGGGCAACTTCTATGCGGGAAGCCAGCACCCTCTGCAGCCCACTCTGGCATTCTGGGAAGCAAGGGACGGGCCACCCACTAGGGGATGATGGCTCCTAATGGCCTGGGTCATAGCCAGTTGCACCAGCATCCACAGGCATAGGGAAGGCAGCACAGGGCACTGGGAGCCTGTAGGTCAAGGCCAGGGGGGAGGGAGGGACACCACACTAGACCTTGGGAAGAGGCACACATTCTGCTTCCTGGAGGAGGAAGCAGGGTCAGGAGGGGCCTGGAGGCTCAAGGGAAACCTGGACTGGTCAGGGTTGTCGTGCTGTGCCCTGACGCAGAGACCCCTCCCACGCAGTCTGAGTAGTGTCCCTGCCTGCCAGACCCCAGGGACTGGAAGGCCCTGTCCTCCCTGCTCTGCCAGTGGCTCCGCCTCTGCTTTGTTTCCTCACTGTGCATCTTCTTCTCTGGTCCTAGGAACACGCCCTCCTTGAAGTGCATGGCCACTGTGGGATCCCCGGGCCCTGCCTGCTGGGTGTCCTCAGCGGCAGTGGCCTTTTTTCTGAGCTCTCACTTGGGGCAGGCACGTGGTGACAGTCTCAGTGCATTTCCACGGGAGCCCTCCCTGCAGGAGGGATGGGTCTGAGCCTGTGTCTGCTCATGGGGGAGGAGGAATGGACTCAGGGAAACTGAGGAACTTTCCTGTGTCACCCAGCAAAGTCAGGAGTCAGGAGCACCAGGCCTGAGGCATGACAGCCCAAGAGACCGGAGCAATCAGGGACTTCCGGGTCTCACCCTGGCCTAACTGACCTGGGCCTCCACTGCCCCTCCGCAGCTGCCTCCCTCCCTGCAGTGGAGGAGGGATGCCTGAGGCCCAGTGCTGTTCCTCCTGGGAGAGAGGACAGCCCCGCGCTCGGACCTCTGATCTTCCTCGAATGTCACCACCTCGGGAAGCCTGCCCTGCCCACCTCTGGGACCTGCTGGCCCCTTCGCCTTAGCCGCTGGCCTCCTGTCTCTCAGCCCCAGAGCCCAGGAGTGATCCAAATATACGGCCAAGGTTGACACTGAAAAACTGTATCACAGTAAAAGACATATAGCCTTGAGGTCTCCTCAGAACACCACCTCACTCCAAACACACTCAGCCCTGTGTCCTTGCCTCTCTCTCTGAAGCAGCTCTAGACGTCTTTTTTCATGGGTGATTTTACAAGCTGTGATCAAAAATTCGGTGACAGCGGCTGCTGAGCACCATCCAAGGGAAAGGCAGTTCCTGAAAACATGGTGCTGGGTCCTCACCCAACTCAGTTATGGGTCTGGCACCCTGTGACCCCCGCCCGACTCTTCCCAAAGTCAAAATGTCCATGAAAGGTCAATGTTTTGAACCAGTTCAAGACACTGAGGCAGCCAGGACAGAGCAACCGAAAATCCTGAGGAAAAAGGGCTCCCAGAGCTGCAGAATGCACCCAGGAAGATGCTGAGTGTGTTCAAAGTTGGGGGGGGGGCTTTGAGGGAACTTCATGGAATGTGCCTCTTACTGTAATAATTTAAAATTTAAACCTTCACCCTGTATTTGATCTGCGGTCTGGTTTAGATACCCCCAGCAGTATGACCTTGCTCCTCCACTCAAGGTCAAACACAGCTGAGACCCTGTCACACCATGTGGGTGCAAGTGCTTCCTCCGGGTAGGCAGTGTCCCCATGACGACTCCACCTGCAATCCCGGCGGCTTCCTGGAGACGGCGGACCGGGCGGAGCTCAGTCTTCAAGCCCGCCTCGCCCTCCCGGGGCACCCCTAACGGAGCATTAAAGGCGACGGGCGGACCAGGCAGCTCGCAGGCATCGACTCGACAGACTCCGGACCATGGAGAAGGCACGGGAGCAGTGGGAGAACCCGCTGCAGTTCTTGTTAGCCTGCATCTCCTACTCTGTGGGCCTGGGCAACGTGTGGCGCTTCCCCTACCTGTGCCAGATGTACGGCGGCGGTGAGTGAGGGGCCGGGGACAGGGGCGGGACAGCCGCTGGGCAGGCAGAGCCGGCGCACCCCTGGGACCAAGCGGGCCGGGAGCTTGGTCCTGAGCCGTGTCTGATTCTCGCTCGCTCGCCCGCCCCGCCTGCCTGTTCTCTCTCTCTCTCTCTCTCTCTCTCTCTCTCTCTCTCTCTCTCTCTCCTGTTAGTTTAGGGGGAAAAGCTTGGGCTGGGAACTACGGAAGAAGAGAAAGGGGAATCATTCTATTCTGCATATTCCTTTTTCTTCTTCTTTTTTTTTTTTTTTTTTTTTTACAAATTGTCTTCTAAGTACATTTCTTGCAGCTCAGGGACAGACAGACAGCAGCGAGGTCACAACCGGGATTGCACAGATAAAGAACTCCCGGCACAGCGCAGGGACCTTCCAGGGGACAGTGTGTGTGTGTGTGTGTGTGTGTGTGCGCGCGCGCGCGCGCGCGCGCGCCCCTCTGGGGGAGAGGGGCGGTCAAGTCTCAGCGTTGAAGCTTTCCCGCAGTGGCTGCATTTGTGGCGTTCTATCCCGGTGATGGAAGGCGAAACAGAAGCGTGGGCCGGAATGAGCAGGGTAAACACGGCCACAGGACTGCAGCAAACGGTCCCTCTGTACACTTTTGCTCATCATGTGAGTGGGGAGAAGGGAAGCAGGGCTCAAATGTGTACAAAGCGGACATGAAATTTTAAACTATCATGTCAAACTATGCAGAGAAAGCAAGGCGTGGTGCTGCCTCCCTGTGATCTCAGCCCTGGGGAGGCTGAAGCAGGAAGATCACCATGAGGTAAGGCCAATCCAGGCTACGTAGCAGGGTCCTGTCTCAAAGAGCCAACATGAATAAGAATAAAAATATGCAGAGAACAGAGAACTGGCACGGCGCTTGCTCCGGAGTGACAAGGGCGAGGTTAGGGCGGCTCCTGCTGCCTGGGACTGTGCTGGTGCAGGTCTCTCTCACTCTGCCCCGATGTTCACAATGAAGAACAATGAAAGATGGTAGAGCAAACGGTTTACAAAAGGGAATCCCTCCGGAAGGCCAAGACCTAAACATGGCTTCTCCCTCTGTGACGAGTCACCGTGGCTCAAAACCACCTTCGCCAACCAAAGCTTCAGTTTTCAAGGTTCGTCTGAAATCCCTGCTTCCTCTTTCCAGTCTGAAGTGCACACTCACATGCCACAGGAGTGTGAAAGGTGTGTGCAGCCGGGCGTCTCCTGGCCACACTGGGAGGGTTATGGCTGAAGGCGATGTCCCTAGTGCTCTGCCCCTGCGCACCTGCCACAGCACCTGCGCTTGGGACTCAATTCCCAGCCCCCATCTGCCAGGCCAAGTGGCTCTCAGTGTTGCTGGCTGGTTTAGCGTCTCATGAAGGATGCCATCACCTGAAGTATACAGGTGAGCATGGGGAGGGGGTGCTGGTTGGCTCTGGAGCCCCAGACAGCTTGGGCTCAGGAGAAGTGAAGCAGGAGGCCTGTTGGTCCTGGCCAGGGAAATTTTTATAGGGTGGACAGACTGGACACTGCATAGGGTGGACGGAGGGCAGCTCCTTAGGTGGGGGAGGACAAACAGCAGGTCCTGGCACAGTGGGAGCTGACCACCTGGCCCCTGCCCCAGGTCCATCTGTCTCGGTGACCTAGGTTCCCCCCAAGGCTAGTAGGTCACACCCCAGGCAGCACCTCCAGGTGCTGCCAGCACCCTTCCCCCAAGACAAAGAGCTCGTTTATAAATCACAAAAGACTTCCCCAGTCAAGTGGATTAGCATTTGTCCTCCTTCCTGCCAGGCCCGAGATGTGAGGAATGTTAATTCTGAAGGTTGTGATCCAAGGAACCGGCAGCTCCCTCTGCTGGGGTTACCACAAGACTGGGCAGCAGCGGCTGCCACAAAATCACCTTTGCAAAAGTTGATGGTGCTTGTTGAGGAAAGCAGGTGGTGGAAATGCAGGGCTTTTTTCTCTTAGTCTTCTCTGTGTGATATTTGAAGGAGAAAGAGGAGGAGCCCGGCAAAGGGTGCCAGGCCACAAGGGATGTGCCACTTCCCTCCAGCACCCCCAGCCTGCCAACCCCAATTGCTTAACGCAGTTCATCCTGCCCGGTGCCCTGCAGAGCTCCTGCCTGGAACAGTGGCTGGCACTGCTATCAAGCTGCTGTTGCACGGGCAGCCCTTGTGCCCCAGCCACTGGGGTACCTGAGGCTTGCCCAGAGTAGGGAGCAGAAAGTTGGAGTTTTCTGAGTGTTTACAGCAGCCTACTGGCTCCATCCTAATTGTGGGGTAGGGAAGCACTGTTGCCTTTCCATAGCTGGCCTTGTCCCCAGAGAGGTTTGGAGGAGGTCCCCAAGGTGGAATTGGGAGTCTTGCTTCCCTCACCTGGACAGCAGCTCACAGGTTCCCTGACTCTTCTCACAGAAAAAGAATTTTCAGAATGTGCTGGTAGGAGGCACAAAGGGGCTTATTGGGTTGAATTTGAAATTGCTCGTGCACTTAGGGACTTTGAGCGTGGGCTCAAAAGGGAGAGGAGCCTGGAGCTGGGTCTGTTAATGGGGTTACCTAGAGGTGTCAGCAAGGTCATGCAGGTGCTGTGCTGGGTCCCCATGCAAGCCGAGTGCCTGTGTGGGAGTTGAGACCTGCTGTCCCCCTGAAGCAGCCCCCAAGGGCAGGAGTGGGGCAGCAGAGCCAGGGTGAGCCCCAGGCCCAGAGCTACAGTCTGTGGGACCCTCAGGAATTTTTTGGACGGGGGCGGGGGAAGAACTAAGCTTGAATAACTTTTGTGTCCTGAAGCTTCACTTTTTCTGAAAAGGCACAATTTTACTATGAGTTTCCTTGTCTCCTTTTCTGCCTATCTTCTTTCTCCTACCTCAGCCTGCGCACACGCATACACGCGCACACACACACACACACACAGAGCCAGACTCTAGGGACAGACGGGGAGGGGGGGGGTTGCACTGTGGCATGCACACATGCAGCTTTGTGTGTAGTGTGGTGGAGGCAGGCCTAGAGCAGCCGCCTCCCTCACCAGGGGCTTCTCCAAGGACCCCAAGTCAGGTGTGTCAACCACAGCTCCGAGGGGACCCTCACAGTGGCTCCTGACACTAGCATAGGTGTGGACATATCGTGTGTCACAGTGGCTCCTGCTGGACATTAGCACAGGTGTGGATACATCGTGTGTCCCACAGCAGCTGGGCTGCAGCCAAGGACTGGGCAAGGCCATGCTGAAATAATGTGAGAATGATCTGTGTGTGCAAGGGCGCGGCAGGCTGTGTGCCTGAGGCAAGTGGCCAGCTGGGAGCTCAGGGTGGCTGCGGCGCAGGGAGGTAAGAGTGGAAGCCCGTGACCTGAGGTCCCCACACTTGGCCTTCATTGTTAGGAGCCGGGATGGGCTCCCTATGTAACAGTTTCAGGACCATCTTCCTGGAGGGTGAAGGAGGAAGCACACTGTGCTGGCCCAGCAGACAGAGCAAGGCCCAAGTCAGTCAGGATCCCAGGTAAAGAACAGACCCCAGAGCTTTCTGGAGGAGCCAGGCAGAACAGGTCATCCCATGAGAAGCGAGAGGACTGAAGCACCCCTCACAGGCCTCTCACAAACCCTGAGGTTGTGGACTCCTAGTGCAGAGCCAGCATCACAGTTTTTATGTCAAAGAAGGGCAGAGCACTTCTGTAGGAACAGGCCTGGTCAGGAGACTGGTTTTCATGTGATTCTTTAATTATTTTGTCCAGGGGCTGGGGATTTGGCTCAGAGGTAGAATGCTTGCCTCACAAGCTGGAAGCCTTGGGTTCTGTCCTCAGCCCCAAAACCAAAAAATAAACCTCCCCTAATTATTTTGTCCTTTTTGAGACAGGGTCTCGCTAAGGAGTTCAGGCTGGCCTTGAGCTCATGCTGTAGCCCAGGCTGGTCTCAAACTCACATCGATCTACTTGCCTCAGGCCTCCCAAGTGCTAGGACTACAGGCGTGCACCACCGGGCCTGGCTGTAGACTGGCTTTCAAACTGATCACAAAACAAATTTTTCTTTCACTGCGATGTATTTGTGTTGGGTCAATTTCACTTTCTCATTGCTGTCAGTTCTTGTGAGTCTGACAAATATGTGCTGGTGTGCTAACAGCACTCCTCTGTGCCAGCCACCAGACCTAGTTTCTGTTCTTATAGTCTTTCATTCCCAAAGTGCTATGTAAATGGACTCATGAGATAGGCTGCCTTTTTAATCTTTCGCTTGTCACAAGAACCCCTGAAGTTTGGTCTGTGACCTATTCGGAACCTGACTGCACAGCTGGCGGTGAGCAGTGGGTGAATAAGCAAAGCTGCGTCTCTGGTGACCTAAGCTGGAACTGAGGTGGGGATGCTAGCACTGAGCAGCAGCTCCAGATGATCTGGCTGCACGAGACTATAGTAAATCAGCTGCCTGCCTACAGGCTGAGATCAAATGTAACCACTAAGGGGCAAATGACAGTCAAACTGCCTCTAGCAGAGGCTCTACGTCAAGACCTGAAATTTACTTCAGTCCACATGAGTCTGCTCATTATTCTATGGACCATTCCTGCCTCTTTCTCATACTTACACCTGGGTCTGTAATTCCTTTCCAGATTTTCTTTTGTATGAGAAAATGTGAAATATGAGTTGAAGTGCATTTTCTGCATGAGGAGGTTCAATTCTTTGACATCACTTACTAACAAAATATTTCAGAGCACATTCTCGTGAACTGGGTGCTGAGGGAGGTGAGGATGCTTATCACTAAGGAGCACGACTAAAGGCCCCACACTCCTCTGGAGTTTCCAGTCTACATCTTGGCTTGGGCAGTGGGCAGTGGGCTAAGGCAAAGGCCCTGCCACTGAGCCCAGTCAGCCTCCCTGAGAGCAGTGCTTGGTGACATTTGTGAAAGTGGCATGATCCTGTGACTCCTGAGGTTGGGATGCTGCTTCACACAGGCTGAGGGAACACAGCCATCCAGTCAGGATTTCAAGGGAGGGAGCCACAAAGGCCTTAGCCTCTTTTGCCACTTGGAGAAACTGGTGAGGTGCCAAAACAAGTGGATGTGGGCAGGAAGGAATGAAGCCGGGAGAGTCCCCAGCAGAGTCTCAGAGGGAGAGGTTGGGCTGCCAAGGCCTTGATGGGCACAGGAGAAGCTGTGCATGCCCCATGAGCAGTGTAGGTAACTGGGCAGTGTGTGAGGACAGGTGTTTCCCCATTTACCTTCACACCTGAGGAGCCAGCTGGCGCTGGACCCACTTAATACCTGCAGCTGTGGCCTCAGAGTTTTCTTTCACCTGAGGCCCCGCCCTCCTCTCTCACTGCCTTGACCACAAGACAGCAAATGGGCGTTCCAGACACTGCCTCTCATGGGTATCCTGAGGGCTGTGTGCCAACCCCAAGGAGGATGAAGAAGGGGAGCTGATGCATGAAGTCAGGAAGAGGGAGCTCAAAATACACAGGAACTCCACAGTCCTGGCTCTGAGCAGCCCTTAGGTGCTGACACAGGAGATGCAATGGGGGTTCAGGCAGAGGGACTGGGCCCTCTCCATTTGGGGTGGGTTTCCCCACATCAGTTTGCTGTCCCATATGCCTGCTCTCTCTGGAAACATCCTCAAAACATACCCAGAAACATGTGCGTTACGAAGGAGACCCTGAAGAGGGCACTCCAGGAACTTGAGGTAGCTTTGCCTCTCAGGCTGAAAATATTGAAAAATTTTTATAACTGACATGTCTCCATGTCATCCATGGATAGATGGGGGATGGGTGAGGAGTAGGTGGATATGAGACGGATGGACAGGTAGGTGGATGGGTGGATAGATGAATGGGTGGGTGGGTAGATGAGTAAATAGATGATGTGTGGATGTTTGAATGAACAGATGCAAGGGTGGATCATGCATATATGCATGGGTGAAAGTTGTGGATGGATAATGAACTATGGAAGGATAAATGAATTAATGTATGGATTCAGGAATGTATGGTTGGGGGACTGGCAGGTGGGTAATGTGATGAACGGCTGATCAGTGGGTGAATGGATGAGATGGGAGAATGGGTGGAGATGCATGGATGGATGGATGGATGGATGGTAGATGGGAGAATGACAGAGAGATGGATATATGGATAGGTGGAAGATCTGCAGACAGAAAAATGGAAACTGATAGAAAAATAGGAGTGTGTATACGTGGGAGGTAGATGGGTGAGTAGGAAAAGTGAAAGCCAGGCTGATGGGTGTTTGTATAGGTGGTAGGTGGCCCAGGATGGCCCAGCTGGCACTGCTGGCCTGATCTCAGCTCTGGATGCCCACAGGTAGCTTCCTGGTCCCTTACCTCATCATGCTTGTTGTGGAGGGAATGCCACTCTTGTACCTGGAGCTGGCAGTGGGGCAGCGCATGCGGCAGGGCAGCATCGGCACCTGGAGAACCATCAGCCCCTACCTCGGAGGTGTTGGTATGTGGGCCCCCTGCGGTTCCCTCTCACATAGAGATATCATATTGTCCTCCCAGGTGGCATGGGGTGGGGATGGGAATCTAATAGCAAGCGCCAGTTAGATTGGTTGGGGGAATTGGCAGGCAGGTGGGTCTTCTGATGAATGGATGGATCAGTAGAGGAATGGATGAGCAGATAGGAAGATGGATGGATAGATTCCCTCAACCATACTAACAAGACCTCAGAAAGAGCCAGTGCCTGGGTGAGCTGATGGACCAGGAAGAGCTGAAGCAAACCTGGGCTGAGCAGGGCTGGGACCTGGCCCACAGGATAGCCCTGGGGCACCAACACACCTGGCATCTCTTCTCTAGGCCTCAGCATGGGAATCTGTGGAAGGGAAATCACTGCCCAGCTGCTCTATAGCTTGCTGATGCCAGGGGTGTAGTCTTCCACCATGGCCTATATCAGACTTGCAAGCTTCCCACATGAGTGATGAGAAGGGCAGGGACTGTGCTCTGGAGAGCCAACATGGGCTCCCTAGACCCCAGAGCACCACTGGTAGCCAGGTCTACATAGGCTCCACACAGGCCTTACCATGCCCCCGTGTGTCACACCCCCTTCATCCCAGCCCAACACAACAGGACAGTGAGCCCATGACCCAACCTTGGGTAAACCAGAACAAGTAACCATCTTCCTGGCACACGGGTGGCAAGTGGCAGTGGCAAAGTGCTTCTCCCAGAGGTTTGAGTCCTAGTTCTGCCACTCAACAGCTGGGTGGTCATGGGCCAGCTCTGTGCCTCAGTGGTCTCCTCCATGGCATGGGGACAATACTGTTGTGAAGACCACATGTGTATGAAGTACTTAGCATAGGACCTGGCACTTTGTCTCAAAAGATGTCATCAGCCTCATGTCCCAAAAGAGAAAAGAGTTGGGAAAAAAAACAGCCTCACAAAGAGGCCATAGTTGCATGTGGAGGGGAGGTTTCCTATGCCATGAGTAATCACAGCAGGCAATGGGCTACTCAAATATGGACCCCCTTCTCTTTCCTGTGCTTCCCCCCAGGTGTGGCCAGCATGGTGGTGGCCTTCCTCACAGCCACATACTACAATACCATCAATGCCTGGAGCTTTTGGTACCTCTTCAACTCCTTCCAGGTGAGTCAGAGAGCATCAGGGAGCAGATGTAGGGCCTCCACCCAGGGAGGGGAGGAGGAAGCTGCCTCAGGGGTGCCAGCAAGAGGTGGAAGAGACTTGGGAAAACCAAGCACCCCAAAGCAAGTGGATCCAAGACCTGTCATGTTGCAAACCAGGATGTATGAGTGTGTGTGCTTATACACACATTTAGGAGGAGCCAATCCACAGCTTTGATAGGCTGTGACACCCGCCCCCCAAATATTAAGAATGATCTCAGTGTCCAGAAGCAAGAACTGATAGTAATTACCATACCCTAGCAGGACTATAAGGCTGTCCTTGTCTGTTCTTTCCTACAGTGGCCACGTATCCTGCCGAGTTTCAGACCCTAGTTTGAGCCCCTCCCTTTCCTTCCAGACCCCAGAGTTCTCCCAGAAGAACTATTCACCCTTTAACAAAGCAGGAGCTATTCTCAAAAACAAAAATCTGCACAGGACCTTTCTACTGCTTCCTGGAGTTCAGTGATCTCCAACCTTTTTAGCCCAAGAATGGTTTCATGGAAGACAATTTTTCAATGGACTGGGGTAGAAGGGATTTCTTTAAAGTTTCCTGTAAAACAAAACAAAACAAAACAAAAACAAAAACAAATATATATATATATATATATATATATATATATATATATTTGTGATACATAATGATTCCCTTCCCCAGGGCTAGGGCTAATATCACAGCTTCAGGCTCACGTCAGGTCACCAGGCACTAGGTCCTCACAGACGTGCTCAGTCTGGATCCCTCACCTTTACAGTTCCCAGTGCATTCCAGCTCCTGTGTGAATCCTGTGCCCTCTGATCTGATAGGAGGTGGAGCACTCAAGCCCTAACTCTAGTGCTGGGGACCAGCTGTAAATACAGTTAAGGTTTCACACATTCATCCACCATTCTCACCCTCTTTGCCCTACCCCAGGTTATAAAGTGTTCTTCCTGTTCCTTTTTTAGATTTTAAAGTGATTGGTGGTTCCAATTTGGGTCTGATTCATTTGCAGATTTTTTTCTTTTTTAATTTTATTTATTTATTTGTGTGTGGCCAGCTCAGCCCACCAGGGGGCGGGGCGGGCTGGCATGTGGTGCTGGGGGACTGAACCGCGGTCCCTGTGCTCTGCTAAGCTTGTTCTAAGTAGGTGCTTTAGACCACTGAGCCATCTCACCAGCTCTGCAGATTTTTTTCTTATAAAATATACACATGGACCTCCGGGGAACACCCCATCCCAAACCACAAGGGGTACCTATGCAGCCCTTCCAAGCCCCCAGCATGCAAGCACACCTGGTCTCTCAGGAGCTCAAGCCACTGCCCCAGGCAACAGCAACATTCTGCCCTCATCCCCCATCCCAGCCTCCCTCTCACCCCTTTATACAATGTCATCCCACCCTGCAGGAACCCCTGCCGTGGTCTGTCTGTCCCCTGAATGAAAACCTCACTGGCTATCAGGAGGAGTGTGAGAAAGCTTCATCCACACAATACTTCTGGTACCGGAAGACCCTCAACATCTCACCATCCATACAGGACAGCGGGGCTGTGCAGTGGGAGCCGGCGCTGTGCCTCATCCTGGCCTGGATGATGGTGTTCCTGTGTACCCTACGGGGCACCGAAACTGTGGGCAAGGTGGGAAGGTGGAGAGGTCAGTGGGAGCAGCACCTCTGTGTCTCCCTTGGGCAGTGCCAGGGGAGGGTTTCACTGCATGGGGTGGAATCCCATGGGGGTAGGGACACAGCAGGTGGTGTTGGAGCAAACTTCCTACCATGTGAAATGAAGATGTCTAGAAATGGCTGCAGTTGTAACATTTAGGCTTTCATTTCATTTTATTAGTGCATATCAGTATTAGCTGGTGATGGAGTTACTTGAAGTTAATGGCTGATTTACATCTTAGTCAGTTTCAATCCAGTTTAAGTTTTTTTTTTTTTTTTCCTGGCTCAGGTTGCCTTAAGGGCAGGTCTGATAAGGCATGAAGATCTGGGGATTGAACAACACTATCCTGAGCCTGTGTTTGCTTAAGCAGGCACTTAAACAACTGAGCTAATTGGAAGGCCTCCCTTCAATCCATTTGGACTCCTTCACTTTCAGGCATTAATCCATTTGGTCCTGGACTTTTCCATGTCAGAAGTTTTAATGACAGCTTCCACTGCACTGCATGTTATTGATTTTTGTTTTTGTTTTTGTTTTTTTATATCTTCTTGGCTTAGTAGAGGTGGGTCATAAGTATCTAGGAATTTATACAATTCCTGTATTTTATCCAATTTGTTGGAATATAAATGCTAAACATAATTCTGGTGAATTAAAATTCTTCTGGAATTCCATGGTTTACGTCCTAAGTTTTTACTTCTAAGTTTATAAACTTGGGCCTTTTGACTCTTTTGATAAGTTTGGCTCTCAACCTTGTTTATTTATTCAAGTACCAGCTCTGATTTATTGATTCTACGTATTGATTTTTACAAGTTCAATTTCATTAATTTCTCCTCTGGTCTTTATAATTTCTTCCTACACCCAGTTTTAGGTTTGGCTTGTTCTTGCTTAGAAAAAGCAAGAAGCTTGAGCAGCATTACTGGGTCAACTATTTGTTGATGTAGTTACTCATAGTGTTGCCAATATCATTTGATTCCAGGAACTTTTCCCGATTTTTTCAGTAACCTATTAATGGTTTATGAATATATTATTCAAAGGTGGGCCAAACAGCTCAACGGATTAAAGTGCCTGCTTAGACAGACACAGAGGCCAGGGTTTGATCCCTGGCATGCCATGTTAGCCCCGCCCCAGGGGCGTGCTGAGAGCACAATTGAGACTAGGTATGGTGGCCCATGCCTGTAATCCCAGCTCTTGGGAGGCCGAACACAGGTGGATCACTACAGTCCAATCTATGCAGTGAGACCTGGAGACCCTGTACTAAAATAATAATACAAAAATAGAATATATTGTTCAGTCTCCATACATTCATGCAACTCTCATGGTTTATTCTGCCATTGATTTCTTGTTTCATTCTGGTATGATCTGATACACATGCATAAGCTAAAATATGTTCCACTTCAGAGAACTTTTCATGATGTGCTGGAAAGAAAGTGAATTCTGCTGATCTGGATTAAACATTCAGATATCTTTTGATGCTCCTCCGTGGTCTAGTGGTTAGGATTCAGTGCTCTCTCTCTCAGATATCAGTGCAGTTCATTAATCAACAGTCTAGTTTACTTCTGGTGGTTTTTGTTGTTGGGGGGGGGCGGTTTTGCCTGTATTTCTGTCTAGTTCCTGCCTAGTTGACTTATTTGTATGACTGTGGGGTGTTGAAGTCACTCACTATGGTTGTATTGGGATCTATGTGTCCTCTAACATCAACTAGCATTTGTTTTACGAAGCTGGGTGCACCAATGCCAGTGAGTACATATATTTACAACTGTTTTGTCTTCTTGGTGAATTCTTCCCTTTGACCCACACATACCAGTCTTCTTTGTACCCTCTAGTTTTGATTTGAAGTCTGCTTGAAAGATATGAGTATAGCTACTTCAGCTTGTGTTGGGCACCCAGCTATTACTTGGAGTTTCATTTTAAATTCTTTCACTTCCACTCTGTGTACCTTTGCAGATGAGGTTGTGTTTCTTGCAGACAGAATATGGATGGGCCTTGTTTTTTGATTCAAACTGCCAACCATTTACATTAAATATGATTAGGGAAAGATATACTTTAATTGTCTTTTTTTTTCCTGGTTTGATATTCCTGTTGTTTACCTTTTTTCCGCAATGAGCTTTACTCTTCCCCTTGTTTTGTAGTTGTTTTTCTTGATCTGTAGTTGAGATTCCTTTGAAATCTGCAATGCTGCTGGGGAGATAGCTCAGTGGCATAAGTGCCTGCCTGGCAAGCACAAGGTCCTGAGTTCAATCCTCAGTGAAAAAAAAAAAAAAAGCCTGAAATCTGCAATGCTGAATTGGTAATCATAAATTCTTCTAGAATTTATATTTAATTCTACAATTAAATATATTTTTTATATTTATCATGAATGTCTTCAATTGTGAAGAAAATCTTTGCAGAATATAGTATCCAGGGTTGACAATTATTTTATTTCAGAACTTGGAAGCATTCTTTCCAAGCTCTCCTGGGCTTTAACATTTCTCTTGAGAAATCTGCTCTAGTTCTGATAGGATTGCCATTATGATTTAGAGCTTCTCTCTCACAACTGTTGATATTCTTTGTTGTGAATTTTGGCATTTTGACTATTACATGTCAATGTTCCATTCTTACCATCTCTATTTTGGATTTGAGATGCCTCCCTTTCCTATGTACCGATCACGTTCTGTGGTTTGGGGAAATTCTGTGCCATAATTATTTCAGTGAATAGATTTTGAAGCTATTATCTATATTTCAACATTTTCTTCTAAGTTAATGTGCCTGAAGCTCTTTTAGATTTATTCAAGAGCTCTTACATAGTCTATTCATTATTGTTTATTCCTTTTTCTTTGCTCCTGTCCAAATATTCTAGTACTTTTCACCCTATCCTGTGTTTCCGACACTCTTCTCAGTGATCCTGTGTACTGCCTAGACTTTTAATGAGGTTTGTACTTCCAGTGGTCTTTCATACCCCGCATGGTCTTCCTTAATACACTCAGGTGATTATTTGTCTCTTCTTAGATCTCATGGGTCAGTAAAAAACAACCTTTTAAATTCTGTGGTTGGTTCACCCACTTCAGTATCTGGAGGAGTAACCAGAATATAATAAAGACCCACCCAGACAGGGATCACTAGCAGCATTCCTCACAGTTGGACCCAATCTCTCAGGGAGCTCATACGTGCAGTTACCTGCAACACTATTCTTTGCTTTAAGTAAGAGGCTCTGCTGCAGGTAGGAAATGACATATAGAGCAGATAGTATGGGAAGATTGGTGTCCAACCTTTGAAAGAAGGCTGCAGTGTCCTATGTCTGTACTCTCTGCATTTTGGGAGGCCGAGGCAGAATGGCAGCAAGCTGAAACCAAGCCTGGGAAAATTAATGAAACTGGGTACCAAAATAAGAATTTTTTTTACAAACGTTGGGAATGTAGTTTAGGGTAAAGGCCTAGATTCAATCCCAAGTAACCATCAAGCAGGCAAAAATATGTCTGCACAATTTCAAGAAAGGAAATGACAGTTGTGGTGGGTACTATGGACCAAATCAGCTAATTTCCTGCTGAATTTATTGTGAGGGTATTTTCCCCACATTCCATGTCATGAGTTTTCCTCTATGAGCCCTACTGGCCAGGCTCTCTCAGGCCTTAGCCATGTAAAGCTGTCCAACATCAAGCCCTTAAATATTTTGCCTTTAGAGACAATGTAGATGTCTTGTGGTATCTCTGTGCTTCCTCCTTTGGTTCAGCACCAGGAAACTTGGTTCAGAGCAAAACTTGACTCAGATACTGAGTAGAGATATACACCTATCTGTGGGCAGACCTTTTTCTCTGGTTTCATCACCAGGTTGCCCCTATTTGCTTTTCAGACTGACTCCTCTGCCTAGAAATGGGAATGTATCACCGGGAATACTTATAGGCACCCCCGCCCTATGGGAAATACGTTTGGGTTGAAGAAAGCCAGGGGGCAGGAGCCTGGGCCTCTGCAGCCTCTTGTCTGCCAATGAAGAATTTCCTGGCAATTGCAGACCTGGGCAACCACAGCCACCAGCCCACTCCTCCAGGGCAGTCAGACCTGATCCAACCAAGGCTGAAGCCCGAACACCCAACGGGCTGTGGTGCTTCCAGGGATGTTGGTCTGCCATGCTTCCTCTGCACGATCTGACTCCGCTCTCTGGCACACAGGTGGCCTATTTCACTGCACTGCTGCCCTACTGTGTGCTCATCATCTACCTGGTCAGAGGCCTCACCCTCCATGGAGCCACCAATGGCCTGATGTACATGTTCACTCCCAAGGTAAGGACACCCTTCGCTCGACTCACCCCTCACTGGCACAGGGGGAATGAGGAGTGCATGGAGGGAAGGTATGGCTCTCCACAGGGAGCTGTAAAGCCGTACCTCAACTCACCTCCAGGTCACAGACCCACATTTCTGCATGTCCAGACCCAGGTGGGACCTGGCTGGGGAGTCTGAGGCCCTATGTATTTTTCATCATTCCACCCCATGATATTCCACTGCATATTTCCTATGGGTACAGAGCCATGGACAGTGTAACAGCAAGATTTCCAAGGGGCTTATGGTGCTGAGGAACAGATGGTACAGACCAGGGCTGGAAGAGCTGACAGGCTGTGTGCTGGGGGCAGCTCTTGCCCACTCTGGGCCTCTCTCCTTGTAGGTGCAAGTCTCTGACACTCAGACTTCATGAGCCCTGTCCCTGGTGACCTTCCAGGTCGAGCAGCTGGCCAACCCCAAGACCTGGATCAATGCAGCCACACAGATCTTCTTCTCTCTTGGCCTGGGCTTTGGCAGCCTGATCGCTTTTGCCAGCTACAACGAGCCTTCCAACAACTGCCAGAAGCACACCATCATCGTGTCCCTCGTTAACAGTGCCAGCTCCATATTCGCCAGCGTGGTAACCTTCTCCATCTATGGCTTCAAGGCCACCTTCAACTATGAAAACTGCTTGAATAAGTAAGCTGGGTTGCCCCACATAAGACCTGGGTCTCAAGAGGGGTGGAGTCTCCAGAGCTCTGAGCTAAAAAGAGAACTGCAAGAACTAGATGCCCAGAAGGCACAGTGGGCAAAGAGCTCCAGTTTTGGAGTCCTCAAGCCAAGGTTTGATTGCTGGCTCCTCCCAGCGACCTTGGCTAGTCAAGGTCATCTCCCGAGGATGAGGGCAGTCTCAGGTGTTCAAAGCTCTTAGTAGATCAGGACAGCAACCACTCCAGTGACTTCTGCCCCATCAACCCTATCTCAGAAGGAAACAAGACCTCCCGAGAGCCAGAATTTACTGCCTTTAACTCCTGACTCAGAAGGTAGGAACATCACTCAGAAGGTGAGACATCCCGTAGGGTGGTCACCTGAGTCAAAGCAGGTATTTCCACATTTCAGTGTGGCCACACTGAAGTTCTCCACTGCTACATGTGGTACCAAATTGGATGGCCAGCCAGGACATTTCCTAAAGCACACAAGTATCTATCAGATGTCACTGTCTTGGTGTTAAAGTAGCCTTACTGTGGAGGTTTGGTTCTTGTTGTCATCCCCATTTGTGGCGAAGGCTTCATCAAAGCCGTTCAGAGTTGCCCTGTCCTCTCCAATGTCATCGGTGCAGCTTCCTGGCCTTCACAGCAGAAGGAAGAGGCGGGAGGGATAGCATGCGATCCCCAAGCTTTGTGAGGCACTGATGCCAGCAGCCTTCCTAGTCAGTGGAGGTCAAGCTGGTGGTCTGCTCTGCAGGGTGATTCTGCTGCTGATCAATTCTTTTGACCTTGAAGATGGCACTGTGACAGCCAGCAACCTGGAACAGGTAAAAGACTACCTGGCTTCCACCTACCCGAGCAAGTATAGCGAGGTCCTCCCACATATGCAAAACTGCAGCTTGGAATCGGAGCTGGACACGGTAAGGTGCT